CCTCCGGCACTCTCTCTTTTGTGCCCTGACCGAGTCTGCTTTAGCCCACGGCGCCTTCTGCTTATTTTTCACTATTTTAACCTTCACAGGAGCGATGGTGTCCAGAACTTTCAAAACACTAGAGGTGACAGAGTTAAGTGAAACACATGTCAAAAATATACAAAAATGATCCGAAAGCGCAACATCGACCACGTTTACATTATATATGTTCGCCCCCTTTGTAACTAACAGGTCTAGAGTGTGCCCTTTGCTGTGGGTGGGGCCACTCACATGCTGAGTGAGACCAAAAGATTCAAGAAGAGAACTCAGCTCTTTAGCATTTCTGTCATCAACATTATCCACATGAATATTAAAATCACCTGTAATAACTAAACTATCAAAATCTGTGCATACAACTGAAAGCAACTCTGTAAAATTATCAATAAAACTGTGACATGACTGCGGTGGCTTGTATAGGACAACGAAAAGTATTGGAGGAGATTGTTTTTGTTGTATTTTAAAGACACATATTCAAAAGACGGAAACTTCCCAAGAGACATTCTATGGGAGACAAAGTGGTCTCTGAAAATGGCAGCTAAGCCTCCTCCTTTTTTGTTTTCCGTATTCAGATTTCAAATTTGAAATTTGGTGGTCTGATGCTTCTATTAAAACTGCATTTTCTGTATTTTGGTCAAGCCATGTTTCAGCCATGAACATAAGATCTAGATTATAAGAACAAATAAAATTATTGATTAAAAAAGACTTGTTACAAAGAGATCTGACATTTAGCATAGCAAGTTTCAAAGTTTCAGGATCAGCGGTTGTGGTCGGCTGATTCTTACACGGAACAAGAATTAGATTTTCCTGATTAGACTGATTAACTCCAGATGTTTTTCTGTTATGTATTCTTTGTGTTATCACTAAGGGAATGGCACAGGTGGCTTCACGACAGGGCCCCAGCCGGGTCTCTCCTCTAACTAGACTGCCAGTGGCTGCGAAGCAGAGACCCTGTGCATCCCTAGTGTTTAGAAGAAAAGAGGGGTAGGGGAAGGCGGGGAGAGGAGGATGGAGAGGCGGGTGGTTCTTGGGAGTTGGACGGGGAGGGGCTTGAAGGTGGATGGGTTTTTGGTGATGGGTTAGGGGAGGGGCAGGCTGAGTTGGTGGTGGACGAGGGGGGAGTGGAGGTGGAGGGTTTCTTGGTGGTCTGAGTTAGGGGGGGGGGGAGGGGGCTAAATGAGCAGGAGGGTCCTGGGGTGTGGAATACTTAGGGGTTAGAGGAGGGACGGGTGGATTTTGTGGGAGAATTTGAGTTGGACGCCCTAGGTGGCTTTGGTTGGTACGTATGGGGAGTAGTTTTGAATGTTAGATAGGACTCTTGAATCTGGCTACAGTGGGTGTGAGAGGAATAGTCTTCATCGCCGATCTTATCATGCCTGCAGAGTGTTCCGGTAAATCCAGTAGTGAAGGCGGGGATAGAAAACAAAGGGAAAAGGTCGTCCTCATTTTCCCTAGATGGAGTGGATGTAGCGGGGGGGACCCAAGCGCGGGTCCTGGAAGGTGATGGAGGGAGTCTTTGGTGGAGACAGAGGTGGTTGAGGAACCCCCAGTACAGGCCTGACTGTAGCCTGGAGTAATGGGGGAAGCTTCACGGGAGCTGTAGGTGGGGAAGGTGCTGCTGAAGAAGAGCAGATGGAGCTGCCACTGCTGCTGCTGTGATGGAGCATCCACTGCTGCTGCTGAAGATGATGGAGCAGCCACTGCTGCTGTATCCACTGCTGCTGCTGAAGATGATGGAGCAGCCCACTGCTGCTGCTGATGGAGCAGCCACTGCTGCGGCTGCTGCTGCATGCTGAAGATGATGGAGAGCACTGCTGCTGCTGCCACTGCTGCTGCTGAAGATGATGGAGCAGCCACTGCTGCGGCTGTATTCCACTGCTGCTGCTGCTGAAGATGATGGAGCAGCATGAAGATGTGGCAGCTGCTGATGATGCTGGGGGTGGAGGCGTTGAGCTCTTTCGAAGCCGTGGAGGTGTTGAGTTCTTTTGGAACCTTGGAGGTGTTGAGTTCTTCTTGAATCGTGGAGGTGTGGAGTTCTTTTGAGGCGGTGGGGGTGCAGAGACCTCGGGAGTCGGTGGAGATGGTCGTGACGTAGCTTTTGGTTATAAACAAAAGGAAAAGGCTTGCAGGTAACCAGAGCACTCGCATGATGGGCAAGACATTCCTCACTAATACAAAAGTGAAATACCGTTTCCAAATATATTTGATACATTGTTCCCTGATTTCACCATACATGATACAAAATGAAGTAATACCCGAATCTTAGCTCAATAATGAGTACGTTCCCATTCTTGTTTACTCCTTTGAGGTTGAAATAATCCAATCTATAATGGATGGTCTAAAATTGTGTTTTCTATAATTGCCATGACATTTTGTCCAGAAGGACCATTCTAGTTGGCCACACACAGTGATGGAAATAACGGGCCGTTACATTTCTTTCAGTTAACGAGTAATCTAATACCTAATTACTTTGACTGTAACATATCGCCGTTATCATTTCTTCCGACATCCCGGTTACTGGGCCGTTACTCCAGACGCACAAATGAGCTCTCTCGCTTTCTTATTTTGTGATAGTACACGTGCGCGTGCGATTGTCATGCTAGAGAGGGAGGATGCAAATACCTCTCAGCAAATTATTGGCTGATGTAAAACATATTTCCTTTACCAATCTACGAAGCTACAGTTGCAGTAGGATGGCTCATAATTGTTTTTTGAAACAAATATTGGTCCTAAAAATTATGCGCTCAATCCACGTGCTTGGTAACACCGTGAGGTCAGCCACAGAGGAGCGCATGTGAGCGCAGAAAGTCGGCTTGCATACAATTCAATCGATAAGCTCCTTGCTCTTCCTGGTTTATCGCTAAGGGCAGCAACAGGTTTGCTAACCTACATATAACACGTTATAAGATTATTTAAAATGCATTTAGGGTTATTTTTTCAATGACTAAGAAGTGATAAGAATAGAGGTGAAGTGAAAGAGGGTGGATTTTAGAAAGTGGATGCACCCGCAGCAGCAAAACAGAGGAGTTTATGGAGGACACATGCGTTTTGTTTTACTTTTTAAAACTCTTTGACTACATTTAACAATTGGAGGATTCATATCTACGCTGCAAACCATTAACTGTGACTAAACACGAACTGGGTCTGAACTGAAGAGGCCTGTGCAGTCATTTATAAGGTAGTGACCCAATAACTCCATGAGGTTTGCGTTTTGTATGAACAAACAATGTGGGCATGAAACATATTCGCTGTACCTAACAAATTGTCCACGTGATTTAATATGATAAATATGTTCAGCTGATTGGTCTGAAGTCAGTGCTTCACCGGTGTTTCCACAATTTCACAGTGCGGGTGGTTGTGTTCAGAAATGCTTAGTGCAACAGAGAGAGATGAAGAGTGAAACAGACTTCATGTCAGCAAAACAGCCTTTGGTAGATGGAAAGGTATGGGCAATATTTAAACTCTACTAGAGGTTAAAGGAAAAAAACAGCGCACAGTTGCGAGAGCACATCCATTTTCAGAACAAAACTAAAAAGTAACGGCAATAGTTACTTTAACTGGTAAATAGTTACTGTTATAGTGGATAACTCCGTTATAACTCAATTACTTTTTGGAGAAGTAACTTGTAACTATAAACTAATTACTTTTTTCAAAGTAACGAGCCCAACACTGCCACCACTCATTCATGCAGCAGAAATCTCACGTCAACTTACTGTAACATACAATACTACTTATCTAAATGTCTTGCCGAAGACACAACAACAGACCACCCTTAAACAATATGTGGTTGTTTTTTCCACCTCACAAACTGGCAACCTGGATGAGAGCCTCATTCGCTGTCTGTAATCATATTCATAGGTAGTTTTAATCCAACTTCTGTTTAAACATGTGTTCAGAATAGGTCAGATATGAATTTAATGTTGACCTAATATCTGCGGAGTACACAACATAGAAAATTCCATCCTTTAAAAAAAATGTATACCTGTGATCACAGATTGGCTAGCCAAGAACAATTTTCCAGCTGCCCATCCACTGTAATTAGTATGTCACATAAATGCAACATATTTGTTAAACAATGAAGCAGTCCAGTAATTAGCAAAAAACTTCAGTGTCCGTGGGGACCTGGAGACCATTCTCAAACCTCTGCTTTTGCCTGGTAAATGCTGCATCCCACAAGACTCCTCATCTCCCGTTGGGAGACATTGTTACTGAACCTTGAGTCGGTAATAACCATTAAAATGTATGTGGACAGCACACTGTCTATCACAAAGAGCCTTTCAACGTTTGGAAATTATAAAAAATGGGACAAAGTGTCAATGTATAATGTGAAACACTGTAATGTACATGTCATGTCCATGAAAAATCAATAAACAATAAATGTAAAAAAGAAAGAAAAGTGTTTGGGTGTTGGGTCAGGATGCAACAATACCGATACTGGCCTTTGGTGGAGATCCAGGAAGCTTAATTTGTTAGAGTTTTGGTTCCACTGGTTCTGATAAAGATTTAAAGTTTTTTTTTTTCAGTCTTAAAAACAAGAACATTTCAACATACTATACCCAACAATTTGATGACTCTGGGTTTTAATTTTTTGTGGTTCAAAATTGATTTAAGTCTGGCAAAGTCCTGATTTATACCTGGTTGGTAGTCCAATATTCGTAACTGTTGGAGAAATTGTTTTGTGTGATTAAATATTTGCTGTTTAAAAAGTGAAAGTGGTGTTGTATAATTATCCAGCCTAGTGCACAACAATTAGGCCCTTTGGAAAAATAAATTGAATAGCCCTGACTGTAATAAGCATCTTTGGGTTAAATACATATTAAAAAACGCTGAGGACTTCCGGTGATGACGTCAGACTAAGAGGAGCAGGGCCAGAGAGCTCCCGACCGACATACTGATAAAGTTATACATTTAAGCTGTGTTTACAGCTATATGCACGTGCAGCCGAAAGGTAAACGTCCGCTGTCATGTCTGGGAAAGAAGGGGCCGTGAAGAACGTCGAAAGACGGAGAAATCTTCAGAAAACCAACCCGCATGTGGTCGAGTCCAAAGATGGCGAAGGTGGCGAGGCTACACGGGCTAGTGCAGGTAGCGTTAGCTCAGACAGCACTAAACCATGCACGCAGGAGGACTTGATTGCCGTATCAAACAAAATCACCGACAAGATTGTGGCTGTGTTAGACATGAAGATAACGGAGGTCTCCAACAAGCTCGACACGATTAATGCTAAGCTAGATGCCGAATCTCTGCGTTTGGACGCAGCTGAGCAGCGCATTGCTGTCACAGAGGAGAGCGTGGAGGAGCTGGAGACGCGGCTGGCGAATGCAGAGAAGAAATTGGCGCTAATGGCTGGAAGACTGGACGACCAGGAGGCAAGAGGACGCAGAGACAACCTCAGGATTTACGGGGTGAAAGAGGGATTTGAAAAAGGGAATGCTCTATCCTTCTTTGAAACGTGGCTACCCAAGTTGCTCAACTTTGACGCCCCCAAAGGCCGTCTTGTGCTGGACAGATGTCACCGGACGGGGGGTGCTGGTCACTTCGGATCAGATACTCCCAGGCCCGTGATCATGAAGCTACATTATCCGGCAGATAAAATGAGAGTGCTATCACTGTGCGCGGGGCGCAAATTGACATGGGAAGGAGCTACAATCACTATACGTCAGGATTTCCCTCAAAATATTGTCCAGCAAAGAAGAGCGTTCAACACCGTATGCCAGAAGCTCATCGCCAAAAACATCAGGTTCCGGATGAAGTACCCAGCGATCCTCGCGTTTTCACTTAACAAGAAAGAGTACTCTTTTGATAGCGCGGCTGCGGCTGGAGCCATCGTAGACACTATGGAGCAGGAGGCCTCCTGTGAGTAACTGCACGTGAAGAGTCGGCCCGGGAGTGAGTGGGCGCAGGTGAGGACTGTACCATAGATTGTGCAGACTGTACCAGCGCTTGCAGTTTGCTCTGCCTTCTCTTGGTATCTCGGAGTTTGAAGACTTTTGATATGAGGGGCGTTACTTTACCCTCTGTTGGTATGTTTGAGTGTTGTGTTGGTGAGTGCGTGTTTTTGGCACTCAAGTTATTTCTTTACACTGAGCAGACTCTTTATGTTGTATGTTAATGTGAATTATACCTGTTTAAACAAAAACCCTATACTTTGGTTTTACATTTTGAGAAGTTACTTTAGTGAAGTATAATGGGTACAATTAAATATACTTCTTTCAACGTAAAAGGTGTCAATAATGTAGTCAAGCGCAAAAAACTGTTAACCTGGCTAAAAAAAGAAAAGACAAATATTGCTTTGTTGCAAGAAACCCACCTTACTGACAAGGAACACGAAAAGCTTAAGCGAGATTGGGTTGGGCAGATTTTTTACTCTTCATTCTCCTCTAGTAAGAGAGGAGTGGCTATTCTTATTAATAAAAATACCCCGTTTACTTTAGATAAATGCACAAAAGACGATCAGGGTAGATACGTGCTAATAACAGGTTATTTATATGGGGAACACATTTTTATAGGCTGTGTTTATGCTCCCAATGTTTATGAGAAAGACTTTTATTCTAAACTTTTGGCAGATGCTTCTAAAATGACACAAACCTTTAGTATTTTAGCAGGAGACTTCAACTGCCCGATGGCGCCGGAGGACCAGTTCCCCTCAGCTAAACAAACTAGCTCCAAAATGAGGGAAGCCACCAAACAGCTTTGTGCTGACCTCCAGCTGCTGGACACTTGGAGAGTAATTAACCCTACAGAAAGAGATTATAGTTTCTATTCTAACCCTCATCGCAGTCACTCCAGAATTGACTATTTTTTCTCTACCAGAATGGTGCTTGACAGAAGTGAGGAGTGTAAAATAGGAGCACGCTTACTCTCTGACCACAGTGAAGTTACTTTGGTGGTTGCTCCCCCTTCTCCTCAACTAACATCACGTCAATGGCGTCTAAACGCATCATTGTTGCAACAACCAGATTTTGTAACACATTTAACTAAATTGATAAAAGAATTTCTTGCTTTTAATAATAATGAAGATACTAATGCCTCAATTCTATGGGATACATTGAAAGCATATGTCAGGGGTGTTATAATTTCTTATAGCTCTGCTAGAAAGAGGGAAGCGTTGAAAGTCCAACTGGAGTTAGAAACACAGCTCAAGGCACTTGATCAATTAATGAAAACAAATCCATCTCCCCGTCTGTCTAAAGAGCTGGATGTAACTCGTTCAGCTCTCAACCAACTTTTATCTCAAAAAGCTGAAGCAAGTTTACTCTATGCAAGACACAGATTATTCGAAATGGGAGACAAACCAGGCCGTCTATTAGCTCGCTTAGCAGCTGGTAGACGGGAAATACAGTCAATTTCTACTCTCCAAGATATAAATGGTAAAAATCACTATGATTCTAAAAAACTGATTGAAATAATGAAATCATTCTACACAAAATTATATACCTCAGAATTTAAAAGTTCTGACAGTCAAATTGAAGAATTTCTGAATGGCCTTAACCTCCCTATCCTGTCGGAAGAACATAGATTGACTCTTGGGGATCAAATTACTAAAGAAGAAATTACTTGTGCCATAAAATCACTACCTAAGTCAAAGGCGCCGGGGCCAGATGGATATGGCACTGAGTTTTACAGAACTTTCCATGATTTAGTTAACCCTCTCTTGTTGAACATGTATGTGCACTCTTTGCAACAGGGCTCTTTGCCTCCATCTTTATACTCAGCAAACATTTCTGTATTATTAAAGAAAGATAAACCTAGTGATAAATGTAGTTCATATAGGCCTGTGAGTTTAATAAACGTTGACAGTAAAATTCTGTCTAAAATATTGACCAAGAGGTTGGAGGTTCTCCTTCCCTTATTAATCAACAAAGATCAGACAGGTTTTATAAAACAAAGGACATCTTTTACAAACATGAGAACTTTGCTTAATTTAATCCAATACACAAAACATAACAGTAAAAAAGGAATCATTGTCTCTCTTGACGCGGAGAAGGCATTCGACCGGGTCGAGTGGCCTTATCTTTTCATGGTCATGCAAAAATTTGGATTGGGTGATAATTTTATAAATTTGGTCAAACTTTTATACTTTTCTCCAATGGCTTGTGTTTTGGTTAATGGAGTTAAATCTTCACCCTTTCAACTGGGTAGATCTACTCGTCAGGGTGATCCAATTTCACCATTAATTTTTGCTCTGGCAATAGAGCCTCTGGCTCAGGCTATTAGATGTAATGAAAATATTTCTGGTTTTGAGATGAATGGCAGGGCATATAAAATTGCACTTTATGCAGATGATGTGTTGTTGTTCATTTCCGATCCAGAGAAATCCATTCCAGAGCTTATGACGACTATTGATTTATTTTCATCTTTATCTGGCTATAAAATAAACTTCGATAAATCAATAGCACTCCCTCTTGGTTATGATGGTCTTCCCTCGTTACCTAATTTCCCATTTACATGGTCAATCTCAGGTTTTACATATTTGGGAATTTTTGTTTCCCCATGTATAGAAACTACCCTTAAAGTGAATCTTCATAATGTGTGTAAAAATATCAAAAGTGACCTGCTCAGATGGAGGGATTTGCCAATATCATGGATGGGCAGAATCAACCTGTTAAAAATGAATGTAATTCCAAGACTTTTGTACCCATTACAAATGTTACCTGTTTATTTGTCTAAAACAAAAGCTAAAGAGATTGAGAGAGACTTGAGTAAATTTATTTGGAAGGATAAGAAGTCTAGATTAAGGATGAGTGTTTTACAGTGTCCAAGAGACAGAGGAGGCTTGGCTTTTCCTAACATTCTTTTGTACAACTGGGCTTGTCAAGGCAGGGTCATCCGGGAATGGTTTCAGTCTTATCTGAATGGACTCACAGACCCTTTGGAATCCTGGATGTCTACACCATACAATCTTCTGGGGGAAATGCTGGCCAAGAAGATTCAGCCAGAGATGCGGACCAATCCAATTTTGATAAATTATCTGAAAACCTGGAAGGACATGTCTACTTATTTGGGACATAAGAGCAACTTATCTCCAGTCATGCCTATTGTGGACAGTAGGTTGTTCCCCCCTGGTGTTAAAAGTAAAGTTTTTACAGATTGGTATAAAAAGGGAATTCGTGTGATCAAAGATCTTTATGATGAAGGAGGTAATCTTATGTCTTTTGCTCAGGTACAGGGTCTTTTTAACCTTTCCAAGAACACTTTTTTTGCTTTCCTTCAACTTCGTCACTTTATCAATACTAACAAACTGCAAATGCCCTTGTTGAATCCAATTGAGTTATTTATGATTACTTGTAAACTGTCAAAAGGTTTTATTTCACGTTGTTACAGCATGTTACAAAGCACTAAGAAAGATGGAATAGAGAAAATTGTTGGGAGATGGGAGGAAGATCTTCAGTGCACATTTACTGAAGATCAGTGGCAAAAATCCATAAAAAATATTCAAGCCATTTTTCTGAGTAATAAATACAGAGAAATGCATTTTAAAATTTTCCATAGGCAGCATAGAACTCCTTATGTTCTTAACAAAATGGATCCTAATAGATCTTCAGCTTGTCTTAAGTGTTTACAGTCACCCGCTACCTATATGCATTGCTTTTGGAATTGTCCCAAAATAGGCAAATTTTGGTCTAATATTACTAAAGAAATTGGCACTATTCTGAAATGCAAAATTAATAAGGATGCGGGACAGTTTCTGTTGTGTTTACCAACTAAAAATAGATACCCTCATTTTGAATTATTTAAAAAGTTCCTTTCCTTGGCTAAAAAATGTATTCTAAATAATTGGATCAAAGACAAACCTCCTACAGTTACAGAGTGGTATCGAGAAATTTTTAATGTGCTTCCTATGGAAAGAATCAGTGCTAAACTGAAGGGTAATAGTGAGCTGTTCACTGAAACATGGCAGCCTCTTATAAATCATTTGCCTTCTTATCTGAAGCTTACTATTATGAGAGGGTCAGGTACTTTAAGCTAAATGTTACTTTTATTTTCAATTTTATTTCATATGGACACTGGTTGAAAGGTTTTTTTTTTTTTTTTTTTTTCTGTGATTTTTATTTTATTTTTTTAAAGGATTCAATACATGCCAGTGTAACATATTGCAACGACTTATAATTGTGTATTTTGTTTTGATTTGTGGTGGTCTGCTCAGTGGTGTTGTCAATGTCTGTCTGTTTTATAATGTTAAAAGCAAATAAAATATTATTATGAAAAAAAAAAAAAAACGCTATTGAACTCAAAAAAAATAAAATAAAAAAAAGATACAGAATCCGAATCATTTTATTGCCATGTAAGTATCAGGAAGTCACAGACTAGGAAATTGCTTTAGCTCTCGGTTCAAACAAGTCAGGAGTAGAGAAAGAATAAGGCATTATACAACATTTCTAAAGTATAAAATCTTTTTAAAAAAAGAAAAAGAAATTATTACCATTATTACTGTATACAAGTGCACATGGTGCACACAATACAATGAACAGTGCAGTGCAGGCGGCAGTAAAGGGGCTTTATAAAGGGCAGTAAGGCAAGGCAAGTTTATTTGTATAGCAAAATTCATACACAAGGCCACTCAAAGTGCTGAACAAAATAAGAAAGCATTAAAATCATAAATAATCACAGAACATTAAAAATACAAAATCCCTCAGTTGTAGCACAGCTAAAGAGAACTGTTTTTAACCTGGTTTTAAACATTGTCAGAGAGGAGGCCTGTCTCACATCTTCAGGAAGATTGTTCCAGATTTTAGCAGCATGAATCTGAAAAGCAGCCGCATGTTTAGTCCTGACTCTGGGCACTAACAGGAGTCCAGTCCCTGTGCTCCTCAGAGTCCCAGCAGGAGTCCAGTCCCTGTGCTCCTCAGAGTCCCAGCAGGAGGCCAGTCCCTGTGCTCCTCAGAGTCCCAGCAGGAGTCTAGTCCCTGTGCTCCTCAGAGTCCCAGCAGGAGGCCAGTCCCTGTGCTCCTCAGAGTCCTAGCAGGAGTCCAGTCCCTGTGCTCCTCAGAGTCCCAGCAGGAGTCCAGTCCCTGTGCTCCTCAGAATCCCAGCAGGAGTCCAGTCCCTGTGCTCCTCAGAGTCCCAGCAGGAGTCCAGTCCCTGTGCTCCTCAGAGTCCCAGCAGGAGGCCAGTCCCTGTGCTCCTCAGAGTCCCAGCAGGAGTCCAGTCCCTGTGCTCCTCAGAGTCCGGGCTGGTTCATATGGGACTAACATGTCACTAATATATTTTGGTGCGAGGCCATGGAGAGACTTGTAACAAACAGAGATGTTTTAAAGTCTATTCTCTGAGCCACAGGAAGCCAGTGCAGAGACCTGAGGACTGGTGTGACGGAGTCATTGCTCTCCCCCTGTCACTAATGCTCTGGTTGTGCGCGCAGTCTGGCCATACTCCCCGGTGCGAGACGCGCGCTCCCGCGCAGAGTTTTACACACCACAATTAAGCATGTTGTACTCACCGGTCCCGCTACGTAATCGCAGGTCTCCACACATCCCCTCGTTTTCTCCCCTCCATAAACCACACGGTAGCAGCATCCATGGCTCGCTGCAGCTCGGGGTGCACACCGGGTTCGCGCGCCTGTTCATGCTCTACTGCGTACGTAGTACCAGGTGACCGCGTACGTAGTACCAGGTGACCGGGCACACCGAGCGCATCTTTGGCTATGCCATTTATACTGGGGTTACGTGCGTTTTCACTCTTTGTTTGCGTAATGTTCCTTTGTTTAATGATATCTCCCATTTTCATGGAAGCGAATTAAAGGGGAGGTATGTTGAAATACTATTGATAATTTGAGAGGTGTTTTAACCAGAAAGGGTTGTTTTGTAAAATTATATTAACTATTTTGTGTAACGTCCATGGGAGGGGCTTGGGGCATAAGAGGGGAGCTGTTTGGGCTGTACAGGGAGTCTGTGTTGCAGAGAGGGCAACATCAGGCTATTGTGGTATCCTGGCATCCTGAGAGGTTATGTACACAACTTATGTACATTTGTAAATATGTACATTTGTAAATATGTACATATATTGTTTTGTCACATCTTTGTAAATAAACTGGATAAACATTTTTTTTTGACCGGCCATTGGTTTTTTGAGAAGTGTTCCCACAACAACTGGACTAATATGGTCGTACTTCCTGGTTCTAGCCAGGACTAATGTGGTCGTACTTCCTGGTTCTAGTCAGGACCAATGTGGTCGTACTTCCTGGTTCTAGTCAGGACTACTGTGGTCGTACTTCCTGGTTCACGAGCTGCCGCATTTTGAATGTACTGCAGCTGTTTTACAGCCTGTTTGGACAGACCTGTGAGCAGGCCATTGCAGTAGTCTAACCTACTGGAGACAAATGCATGGATAAGAATCTCCAAGTCTGCTTTAGACACTATGTTTTTGATCCTGGAAATGTTTTTTAGATGGTAAAAAGCTGCTGATGTTACTGATTTGATGTGACTATTAAAATTTAAGTCTGAGTCCAGTATTACCCCTAGATTTCTGACCTTGTTTGAAGGTTTTAGGGAGAGAGACTGTAGGTGACAGATGACGCTCTCTCTTTGTTTCTGGGGACCAAAGACAATCATTTCAGTTTTGTCTGCGTTTAGCTGAAGGAAGTTGTTTTGCATCCACTCACTGATCTGTTGGATACAGTGAAGGAGTGAGTCCACTGGTCCATGTTCTCCTGCAGTCAGTGAGTCAGTGAGTAAAGTGACTTTAAAAAGGGACCAGCCCCTCACTGATCCTCTTGCAGGAGGTGAGTCCACAGGAGGACGGCTGCTCTATGTAAAAGCCTATTTTCTGCATTACATAAGAGTATTTGCAGCCACTGCAACATGTGAGATTATGACGGGACTTTGACTCCATTATTAATTTATATTGGAAGAAACAATGTATTGTGTTTTCTTTTTGTGAACAGCTCTGTGGAAAGGACCAGCTTCCATCACAGCTCAGTCCGTTTATGAAGTGGCTGAAGGAGAAAACATCACAGTTGAATGTACTATGTTGGATTTAGCTGGATACAAGACGATCTTTTGTAAAAATAACTGCGACGAACAAAGAAATGTTTTGGTGAAGACGACAGGAAATACAGCGTGTGAAGGAAGATACTGCATTCATTATGACAGAAAGGGAAGATTTACGTTCGATATAATGTCTGTGAGCATCTTCGAAGTGACTGATGCAGACTCCGGAACATACCAGTGTGTTCTGAGGAGATCACTGATAAAAGATGGAGTCGAAACATTCAGGATCAAAGTCACAAACAGTACGTTTCATAGAAAACTCATACATTTTCCAACACACTCCCAAACTCACTCATTCATAAGTGTTGATGACTCTTCCAGATCCAGACGCAGCTGTAAATCCCACTTTCACTCTCAGACCTGAACGTTCTCCTCCCGTCTCTGTGAAACCCAGCTCTGGAGACGTCTCTACAGTCGCAGCAGAAGATCAAAGTGTCTCCAGAGATCCTCACAGTTCCACTCCTGAGCATCAGCAGAACAAAGAACCAGGTACTGTCTTTAGAGGCTGCTGGTGTTGCTCCAGTAATATACAGTACATATTACGTGTTATTGATATATGACAAATGTAGGTAGAGATTTGTGGGAAGCCAAGTGTCCTGGAGCTTGTGTGGAGAGTTGTGTGGATTTTATTACAGAGTTCCATCTTTGTGCTTTGAAAGTTAGGAACCCTAGCTTTAAGTTTATACACAGAGTAACTTGTTCTTCTGGTGTCTCCCCTGCAGAGCCGAGCCTCCTCCTCCTCCTCCTCCTGCTCCTCCTGGTCCCTCTGGTCCTGATGCTGTCTGTGGTCGTCTGCTACAAACAAAGGAAATCAGACGGTGAGAAAAACACATCAGTTTGAAAGGATTCTGTTTTATAGAAAACAACATTCTGACCTTTTCTCACGTTACGTTTGCAGAGAACGGAGCTGCACGGACTGAGGTAATGTGTCTGTGTTTAGACCAGTTCCTGTCTTTGACTTCGTGGTCACACTTTGGTTTAGCCTAACTCACCAGTGAGGTCTTTGCACTTGGGGCCAGTGGGGCCCGACCCCACCAGGTGGCGCTGTTGAGCACTATGCAGTCTCAAAATAACTGTCTATAGAATTGGTCTTCTTTATAGAGTAATAATCCATAAAATAATATGTTATTAAAAATAAATTGTGTCAAATTAATTAATTATTTCAGAAAAATGTATGTATAAATCATAGGCTTTGCCAAAACCAAAAACAATTACCTAACTTCTCACAATCAAAATGAAATGGGGCCGGCCCCTGAGCGCTTGTTTAAGTGATGAGCCTCTAAAACCATAGTGTGCATGTCCATAACTGGTCTCAGTAGACGGCCGTGGGGCACAGTTATTGCGGCCCCAACGCCGATATCATCAAATTAAAATGTTCGGATCAAATACGTCGACACGTACACAAAATATTGGACTCAAATACGTGACGACGTGTGCAGCACGTTCAGTATTGGCGGATATCGAGATACAGCAGCAAGCTAGTTTTTTTCATCCAGAGCTAAAAAATTTGAAGCAAACCAGCAACCATATAGATTCTTTGATGAAGGCTAAATTTAGCACTTTGCCACTTGAGCAAAAATTAGAAATTAAACGTCTGGGACCGCATCAGCCGTCGGATTTTAATATTGTTCAAGCGGGAAAGGACAAAACCCGCTCCTTCAACTCCAAATGGTTCAAGAGGAAAACGTGGCTCACTGCCTGTTGGACCAGGAAGTGGCTGTTTTGTTTTCCTTGCCTGCTGTTCGGAGGAGAGACTACCTGCACTACAGTGGGATTCAAAGATTTGAAGCATCTTTCAGAATCTTTCAGACAATTCCCTGAAACTGGGTTTGCTTGGTACCGCTAACATTGCGACCCAGTTGGATTCCGCCCACAAGCGTGCCATTGAACTGCACAATCAGCAAACTGAGGAAAAGCGGTATGTGCTTGGACGAATCATCACATGTCTAAAACTCTGTGGTAAATGTGAAATCGCTTTACGCGGCCGTGATGAGTCTGCTGCTTCTGTCAATCCTGGCATTTTTCGTAGTATTTTTGAGACGATGTGTGAGGGTGATTCCAGACTCAATAGACATTACGAATCACAGCCATACTTCAAAGGGACCTCGGCGACAATTCCAAATGAACTTTTGCAGTGTATGTTTGAGGTTTATCAAGAAGAAGTTGTGAAGGAGGTGTCTGTTACTCCCTATGTGGCAGTGCAAGCGGACGAAACCACAGATGTGTCATGTAAATCCCAGGTAGTGGTTGTGCTGCGTTATATGACTGGGACAACAGTGAAAGAGAGATTTTGGAGTTTCATTGAAGTGAGGGACAAAACAGCACCAGGTCTGGCAAGTGTGATACAAGAGGCCATCGAGCCATTGGCTTTAAAGGAAACATGAATTGCACAAACATACGACGGTGCAGCTGTCATGAGTGGGAATATCCGAGGCGTCCAGACACTGATCAGGGAAAAGTACCCAAACGCGCAGTTCGTGCATTGCTACGCACACCAGCTAAATCTGACTGTGCAGCAGGTGTGCGCAACAAGAATTTCAGAGCTGAACGTTTTTTTTGCTGATCTATCTGCCTTTGCTACATTTTTTTCTAACTCGCCAAAAAGAACCGCGGCACTCTCCGTCACATCTACGCGGCGCATCCCGAGGCCAGCAGCGACTCGTGGAATTTCAGGAGCAGAACGGTAAATGCTGTTTGGGAGAACCTGTGTGATATCAAATCTTGTCTGGATAATATCCGCACAGAACCTGGATGGGACAGCATTACGATTCGTGAAGCGTATGGTCTCGCTATGTACCTGGAGGATGAGACATTTTTACAGTTTCTGCACTTTTTCTACCAGCTCATGCCAGAAGTGGACATTCTGTACAACACACTGCAAAAACGCAGTGTCGATGCGACCACAGTTAATCGTGCTATGGACAGCTTCAAAGACGCTGTGAGTCGCCTGAGGGACAATGTGGATGACATCGCTCAGGAGAGAGAAGCAGCGCCGAAGGAACGGAGGAAAACAAACACTGTAGCAGTGATGAGGGAAGCGTGTGACGCTGTGGTTGCTCAAGTGGAGGAGAGCTTTAGCTCCAGCGATCACCTGTTTGCTGCACAGCTTGTGGACTGCACACTTTTCACTAACTTCAGCAAATCATTTCCATGTGCTATGTTTGAAGCAGCAAATAAAATCTGGCCAATTGGAAATAAAGTCAAACTGGAAACTGAGCTGAAGTCCCTGTACAGTCACTCAGAGTTGCATGCTGGCAACATTCTGTCACTGCTGCAGCTGATCTTTGACAACAACCTACAGGATGCATGATCAGAAACTGTCACTGATCAAAATGATTATCACCACACCAATGACCACAGCAGAGTCTGAGAGGAACTTTTCACCGTAAAAAGGATAAAGACATTTACCAGAAACACCATGGGGCAGCAGAGATGGAATGCACTGGCTATGTTGTCCATTGAAAATGAATTCATTCGTGGCTTAAAGGACTTTGACAGACGGGTTATTGACAAGTTTGCCCAGATGAAAGATCGGCATTCTTTCTATTCAAGAAATGAACACTGATGAGTGCCATCACATCCTCACTTTACTGCTGCACCTTATTGCACTGTTTACTACAAACTGTGTGCACCATGTGAACTTGTATATTGTGTATATAGTAATTTGTAATCATAATTCTATTTTAAATTTAAATCCTTAGAAATGTTGCTGATTGTTATTATGCCTTCTCTCCTCTTTACCTCTCTTTTCTGACTGTTGAACTGAGCCAAATAAATTTATGAAGTCTTCCTGTTCCTGACTTACATGGCATTAAAAAGGATTCTGATTCTATTGATATTGCTATTGAATATTTCTGATTTATTTTGAACTATTCAAAGGTTTTATTCATGGGGTTAATACGTTAGGCTGTGCATAAAAATAGACTGTGGTCTTGAATTGGATTTATTGTGCATGTTTTGCTGTTAGTGGATGTAAAGTGCCCACTCTTGTGCCCCACTCAACTTTTGATGCCAGAGACGCCACTGAAACTCACTAACTCTTAGTACTCACTGACAGCTAATAGTGCATCATTTATGGTTAAATAACTCTTAATAAATGCTTAATAAATACCTTTTAGAAAGCATTTATTAGTCCTAATTCTACATGAACTTATTCAACATCTAACTAACTCCTAATTTAGTCCTGGGTTAGTTCCACATATGTCTCTAATGGCACTTATCTGTTTTTTTGCAAATAACTTTAAATACATAAAATTTTCATTTTTTTCTGCTCAATGCACTCATTCATATTAAGTGTGTGTTATTGTGTGTTGTTGTGTGTTTGCAGGGAGTTGTGTTTGAGCCTTGTGCTGCTGTCACAGAGTCTGCAGACATCACGTACCAGTCTCTCTGTGCAGAAACAAGAGAACACAACATCTACAGCTCTCTGACCGCTCTGGGGACACCTCCCCCTGGTGGTCAGCGTCTGTAACTGCACCCTAAAGAGACAGACGTCAAACTGCTTTGACATCTCTGTGTGGAGCGAGAGACAAAGGCCCACAACTGTAAAATGTTAATGACTCTGGTCTGTGAGAGGCGCTTTATAAATAAAGATTACTTACTTTCATGATTTTCATGTCAAGTCATCATTAAAGGGCCCTAATCTGTCATCATTAAAGGGCCCTAATGTCATTATTAAAGGGCCCTAATCTGTCATCATTAAAGGGCTCTAATCTGTCATCATTAAAGGGCCCTAATCTGTCATCATTAAAGGGCTTTAGTCTGTCATTAAAGGGCCCTAATCTGTCATCATTAAAGGGCCCTAATCTGTCATCATCAAAGGGCCCTAATCTGTCATCATTAAAGGGCTCTAATCTGTCATCATTAAAGGGCCCTAATCTGTCATCATTAAAGGGCCCTAATCTGTCATCATTAAAGGGCCCTAATCTGTCATCATCAAAGGGCCCTAATCTGTCATCATTAAAGGGCTCTAATCTGTCATCATTAAAGGGCCCTAATCTGTCATCATTAAAGGGCCCTAATCTGTCATCATTAAAGGGCCCTAATCTGTCATAATAATAAACTGCTCTTTTCCAATACTTCTTTAACTGATAACAATAGTTCAGAGATATTTGAATTTCTAAATTACTTTTCCAGCCCTTAAATCTTGTTATTGTTTTCATTTCGATGTCCCGCCCTCCACCTTTTCACCAATCAGAAAGTCTGTGATCCGGGCGCCAGAACTCACCGTGTGGAGCTAATCTCACTGGTAAAGTACCATGTGGCGCAGAACTAAAAAAGGTCTCGTTATGATTCTCAAATCATTAACGACAAAACAAGGAATAAAACCAGGATTTCTATCTTTGTGAAAAAGGTGTTGGTTATAGATTTGTTGTTGACAAAACTCTTGTCTATTCAGCTGTTATGGCAACGGGCAATACAATCAGGAAACGGCTGAATCCAGGAATTGCGAAACACCGGAAGTGGGCCACCTTTCAAACTGTCAATCACTCAAGGATTATTTGTGACCCAAAGGCTAAACCTAAGGGTCTTTTAGGGGGTCATTTGAACATTAGGAGTTATCTATCTAAAAGTGAGCAAATTCAACACCTTCTTCAAGACTTAAACCTTGACTATATATGCTTTTCAGAAACATGGCTCAATCAAAACACTCCAGCTGCTGCTCTCAATAACCCAGGATATGATTTATATAGAAAGGACAGAGAGGGCCCCAAAAAAGGTGGGGGTGTGATGGCTTATGTCAAAAGTTCGCTGATAAAACTACAAGGAAAAAATTGAAACAAATCACCGATAAATTTTATCTAACCCAAATAGTTTGTGGCCCAACAAGAATAACAAACTCTACAAATACTCAAATTGACCTCATATTCTCTAACAGGCCAGAAAGAATCACCAAATCATTTAATATGTTAACAGGGCTGTCTGATCACAATCTCACCCTCATAGCCAGAAAACTGACATGCAGCCGCTTCCGATCTTCTCCCTCGTCCAATGTCATCACTGATATCCCCAAAAAAAATTATGAAAGCTTTCTTTCTGCAGCTCAACAAATAAATTGGGATTGTTGTATATTTTAACTATGCAGATGTGAATATTGGCTGACCCTGATTTGAACTGTCTTTTCCTAAAGCAAAAAGACCTGGTTTCCCCATGTTCCTTTGTTAGTTCCAAAGTGCATGGGTGAGTTAATGATAGGTAATCTGGGGGGGGATTCTGCTAAGTTTATTGTTAACATGCGTACGGAGAGTCAGCACATACAAACAAAGGCAGCATGTACTAGCTCTGAGGGCAGAGCCCCAAGTTTCCTGTATACAAGACACACACGAGAGACAGTCCCGCCCACAACAGATTGGAGGGGGCCACCCGTGAGGAGGCGCATGGGGGGCGTTTGGCGCCGTCTGGGAACGGGGTGCGAACAGACAGCAGGACGTAGAAGATGCACACATACAGACCGATAGATATGCAAGAGGCGAAAGGGAGGACAGTGATTTGCGCCATTGTCTGTAGGTGTCGGGGGGCCCGGCTCCTTCCTGGAACAGGGACATATGACATATGAATAGACACAGGCAGGGTTGCATGAATACTAGTCGCTTGCCATCACAGGGCTCGTCCGGGATCTGAACCCAGGACCTCTCGCACCAATGGGAGAGCTGATTGGGACCGGCCACATTCAAAAGTGCTGTCAGGAAGTCAGTCGAGTCTCTCAACTATTGGATGGATCCTGGAAGGAGGAGAAAGCCAGCAGCAACTCACAAACCAGACTAGACTGGGATCATCATGTTGTTTAAAGCAGAGAAAAGTCCCAAACACGGGACCTTTAACAAAAGTATTTCTGCCTCATGAGCTGCTCCCACAAACATTAAGTACATCTGTAACGGTACAAATATGATCATTGTGGCATTAGGTGATGAAAAAGACACTGTGAGACTTTTACTACTGTGAGAAAGCAGCAGTGGAGTAAAGGGAATCTACAGGTCTGGGTTGAACCACAGAGTACAGTGTCTCGCTCTGACTCTGGGGGGCGCTGTTTCCACCTGGGCCGATGGGGAAATGGATTTGAGTGTAGCTTGGATTGTCCTCTTCCTGGAGAAAAACAAACACAAGTAAAGTGTGTTATCTGTACTTCATTGAAGAAGAATACCTTTCTGACCCTTTAGACCTTTCTGAAATTTTAGACCTTTCTGACATTTTAGGTCCTCTCTGGTCTTTCTCTGGTCTTTCTCTCTTTCTTTCAGCCGCACACTGGCTGAGTGGTTCGCACTCAGCAAGAAGTTTGAATCCCGGTCGGAACAGAGCCTTTCTGAGTGGAGTTTGTTCTGCCTGTGTCTGCGTAGGTTTCCTCCAGGTGCTCCTACCACTAACAACATACACAATAGGTACCACTACTCCAGACAGACGCCCTAGTGGCATAAGCAGGAGGTCAAATGCAGAGGACAAATTTTCAATCCATTCATTTTCTTAGATCCATTTCTGGATGGGAAGTGGCAGTCCCTGACTCTGCCTAGCCTCTGCTGGTATAATGTCCCTGACCAGCCTCTGCTGGTATAATGTCCATGACTCTGACCAGCCTCTGCTGGTATAATGTCCCTGACCAGCCTCTGCTGGTATAATATCCATGACCAGCCTCTGCTGGTATAATGTCCCTGACCAGCCTCTGCTGGTATAATGTCCCTGACCAGCCTCTGCTGGTATAATGTCCCTGACCAGCCTCTGCTGGTATAATGTCCATGACCAGCCTCTGCTGTATCAGATCAACCAGAAACATCAGTGATATTCTGCTCGAAGCTCTATCTAAAAAAGCTGAACTGGTGAAGACAGAATGTGTACTTTCTTCCCCTAAACAGCGGCTGCTCAAACGCTCAACGTGTACTTCCCTTTTTCTGTTTAAAAACCACAACGTTTTTGACTCTTACTATGAGTCATAATAAAAAACTGTAATATTACTTCTGTAAGTGTGTGTGTGTGTGTGTGTGTGTGTGTGTGTGTGTGTGTGTGTGCGTGCGCACGTTTGCGTGTGTGTAAATCCGTATGTATGTAAAGTAAATATGTGTTTTGTTAGGTCCTTTGTTTTGTAGTAATGGTTTTCCTATTGAGATTTCATGTCGTTTGCCTCAGTCCTGGGTCTACAGCCTCAGTCCTGGGTCTACAGCCTCAGTCCTGGGTCTACAGCCTCAGTCCTTGGTCTACAGCCTCAGTCCTGGGTCTACGGCCTCAGTCCTGGGTCTACGGCCTCAGTCCTGGGTCTACGGCCTCAGTCCTGGGTCTACGGCCTCAGTCCTGGATCATCTACAGCCTTGTATTGAAATGCAGTGGACAACACTAGAGAGTTTGAAAAGCATCCAAAACCAGACACACACAGACAGCTACAGTCACTGCATGTATGCTCTGCTGGTTTCTTACTTGCTGCTGGTTTCTTACTTGCTGCTGGTTTCTTACTTGCTGCTGGTTTCCTGGAGCTGTGGCCAAACTGTACAGATCTGCCGGGTCTTCTGTCAGTTTGCTGAACGAGGCTGAGGCGTAAACCGTCGACACCTCCACAGGACGAGAGACAACGCCGGGGCCGATCTCCTCGTAGGATCTGTGAGAAGCCTGGAACAGACAGAACGGCTCGATGGTTCAACGACTGTGCAACTGGTCTCTTTGCGATCTTTTTGTCTCAACACATCCATTGGAGGAAAGTTACATGGCTTATTTTTAACCCAAAAAGGTTCTGGAATCTCAGTGGGCTTTCCTAATTAAAATGAGGTCAAGAAATCTAATTGAGCCCAGGAATGCAACTTGATTACTTACAGAGACTAAAAAAATAAACAGGAGCACATTACCCCAGTGTGTAAAGATGCAGTTAGCAATGTTAGCTTAGCCGTAGCACCAACTCGAAACCACTCCCCCCTCCCCACTGCCCCTCCTCCAAACCAAACATCCAGCATTTTCTTTTCTTTGTCACAGGGAGAGTGAAGCAAACGTGAAATTGGCATTTTCTGTTCAGACATTTTTAGGTTTTAGAAAATAATCCGATAACTCTGATGCACTCGTGAGAAACAGGAAGAAGGTGAAGAGGGTAAACACATCCCATTGGTTCGTTGGGAATGAACGAATCCCATTGGTTTATTTTTATTTTTGTCTTCCCACAATATTTCAAAAAATGCATCTGGGAAAAATCACTGACTGCATCTTTAAGTCACTCCGTGTTTGATTCTGCTTTGATTTCAAAGTTGCTTTATTGGTATTAAATGTCTTCATGGTCCTACAGTATCTCTCGTACATGTCAGAGTTTCTGCCTGGGTGTGGAACCCAGTAATAGCTTTGTGAATGGAGGAAGTAGCAATGGCTAATTCTTTGAAATAAGTAACATGCATTTCTAAAAACAGGAAGTCCTCTCACATTAGTCCTGTTCTCGGGTCTCTGCTTCCTCTGGCTTTAAATACTTTAAATCAGATCCGTTTGTTACAAGTCTCTCCATGGCCTCGTACCAAAGTACATCCAAGATATGATAGAGCACAGGGACTGGACTCCTGCTGGGACTCTGAGGAGCACAGGGACTGGACTCCTGCTGGGACTCTGAGGAGTACAGGGACTGGCCTCCTGCTGGGACTCTGAGGAGCACAGGGACTGGACTCCTGCTGGGACTCTGAGGAGCACAGGGACTGGCCTCCTGCTGGGACTCTGAGGAGCACAGGGACTGGCCTCCTGCTGGGACTCTGAGGAGCACAGGGACTGGCCTCCTGCTGGGACTCTGAGGAGCACAGGGACTGGCCTCCTGCTGGGACTCTGAGGAGCACAGGGACTGGCCTCCTGCTGGGACTCTGAGGAGCACAGGGACTGGCCTCCTGCTGGGACTCTGAGGAGCACAGGGACTGGCCTCCTGCTGGGACTCTGAGGAGCACAGGGACTGGCCTCCTGCTGGGACTCTGAGGAGCACAGGGACTGGCCTCCTGCTGAGTTAGGACTAAACAGAGGGAGGCAGTTTTTCTGAATTATGCAGCTAAAATCTGGAACCGTTTTCCCAAAAATGTGGGACAGGCTTCCTCTCTGACAATTTTAATATCCAGATTTCAATCTTGTTTTGTTTGTTCACTTCACCCAAACCCCTTTTCAAATCTTGAAATAAATAAATATCTTTGAGTTTCCTTGTGTATGAATGTTGCTAAACCTCCTTTGTGACTTCCTGTTACTCCCAATGACAGTAAAGAAGGTTCTCATTTGCTCAAAATAAAAGAGACATTGGCAGAGCCCTGATCCCACCTCGTAATCGTCTCTGTCGTCGACACTCACAGGAAGTTCTGCAGAAAAGCAAATGTTAGTGACACATTTTCTGACATCCTCTTCCCTCACGCTGCTTCAACACTGACCTTTTGACATGTGGCCTTTGATCTTTCTACAGAATATCAACAGAACAGCCGCTAACAGGAGGACGAGGGCCGCCAGAGTCACACCCACAAACAGCAGCGTGGATCCTGTCAGAGACACTTCATGAATCTGTTTCACACTGTGCTTTTCTGGACACTCAAAGAAGCTTCACATGTCGTTCATTCACTTATTCATTCAGTGAGCCACAGCTGCCCTGGGAGGCACAAAGCGAGGCAGGCAGTCTGTGCCATTGGCCCCTCCCACCACCATCCATTCACCAAAGTACAGTACTCACATATATGGACAAATGAACCCTTTAGGGAAATAGAAAACTACATAGTTTGTGGAATTTCCTGGGCTTTCGTATGAATGAATGTTTTATTTGGACATTTGTCCAAATAGAGTCGTATCCCGCAAAACCCAGACTGATGATTGTGTAGGACTTTGGGCTTTCAGGCATTTGGACGTTAACTGGAGCAACACCAGCAGCCTCTAAAGACAGTACCTGGTTCTTTGTTCTGCTGATGCTCAGGAGTGGAACTGTGAGGATCTCTGGAGACACTTTGATCTTCTGCTGCGACTGTAGAGACGTCTCCAGAGCTGGGTTTCACAGAGACGGGAGGAGAACGTTCAGGTCTGAGAGTGAAAGTGGGATTTACAGCTGCGTCTGGATCTGGAAGAGTCATCAACACTTATGAATGAGTGAGTTTGGGAGTGTGTTGGAAAATGTATGAGTTTTCTATGAAACGTACTGTTTATGACTTTGATCCTGAATGTTTCGTATCCATTTATCAGTGATCTCCTCAGAACCAGGGACGTGCAGTCAGGGGAGGCAGGGGAGGCAGAGCCTCACCTGCCATTATTGGAAACTAATAATTATTTTAGTTTAAATATATAATTTATATCCACTGTCCTATGCTTTTAATGTATATTCGGCACGGTTCCCATCAGTTTTGATCATTTCTGAAGTCAAAATCGCCGAAATCCCGTTATTCCTATTCAAAGAGACGAGGTGAGGCAGCGCTCCTGCGTGCCTCACCTCAGACCGCTCCCTCACAGTGTGTGTGTGTGTGTCTGAGTGCACTCAGCTCGTGCAGTTGATATATCACCGTTTGTTTCAAATATCCTGCTTTAAAAACATTTTTTAAACTCCTCTTAGTGTTTAGTAGTGTATTGCACGTATGTGTGTACAATTTATATTTAGTTTAAGTCTTTTGATCGTAGATGAACACACAAGGAAAAAGCTTGGCGTGAGGCAGGCGGTATCTGTGCCTCACCGCTAGGGGTGATAGTGAGCATAAAGTTCATACCAGAGTTGCTAACAAACAATCAGCCCAAAATGCTATTTCTTTTGCTGGAAAATGGATGATTTGAATGAAGATTTTTTTTCTCAATTGGACTTTCAAACAAAGAAAGAATTAATATAGACTGGGAGACCACCACTGGACTTACGAGGTTAGTCCGGCTGCGGGGGAGGAGTTTGTTAATCTGTGTTTTATGTTGAACATTGACAGATACCGGCAAAGTAGTGCTTTTCCGAAAAACACTGATTCAAACACTGCTCAAGAGTTCTGCAACTTGTTTAAATTATTGTTTATGTTCCTCGCGTCTCTCTCTCCTCGCGTCTCTCTCTCCTCGCGTCTCCGTCTCTCTCTGCTCCTCGCGTCTCCGTCTCTCTGCTCCTCGCGTCTCCGTCTCTCTGCTCCTCTCTGTCTCTCTCTGCTCCTCTCTCCTCGCGTCTCTCTCTCCTCGCGTCTCTCGCACCTGCGCTTCTTAAAGATGTTGTTTGATGCGGAGCAGAGTCAGCAGCTAGATTTGTTGTGAGATTATTAAAAGAAGCTGGTTCTCTTATCTTTACAGTATATAAAGTTTGTGGATGTCATTGCATTGGTGATTAAATGTTATTTTATTTGAATAATGATTGTAAATCTGACTTTTAAAGTCAGTGCCTCCCCAATCACAAACCTCACCGCACGTCCCTGCTCAGAACACACTGGTATGTTCCGGAGTCTGCATCAGTCACTTTGGAGATGGTCACAGACATTATATCGAACCTCAATGTTCCCCTTCTGTTTATTTGTTTATTTGTTTATTTATTTGGATCCCCATTAGCTGTCTCCAAATGGACAGCTACTCTTCCTGGGGTCCGGTTCAAGCAATTACAATATTCACATCATGCAGTTAAATTTAAAAAAAAAAAAAAAAAACACTTCACATACAAAACCTCTCCTCAGTTATATGCACACATACTGTACATATAAAGAATTTAAATATACTGTATATGAAGTTATAGACATACACACACAAACAGACTTAAGCTTCCATCAGAAAATGTCTTTTCAATAGTCTTTTAAAAGAGAGCTTTGTTTCAGCTTGTTTAACAGCCTGTGGCAGTTTACAATACAATACAATACAATTTATTCTTGTACAGCCCTAGGTCACAACAGAAGTCATCTCAGAGACTTAACAAAACCATTGAAATCACCAACACAGGTCAGAGAACCAACAGTTAAAACACATGAAGAATACAGTATAAAGCACACACAGAAGAAAATGTCCATACATGTTGTAGAATGCTAAAGTGTCCTGATCATCACCAATCCTTTCTGTTGGACACTAACTGTCCAACAAGACCCTCCTGCATCGACAAGGAAAAACTCTTAAAAAACCCAGTGGGAAAAAGTGAGAAACCTTGGAGGAGAACTAGGGAAACCCACAGGGAGGGAGACCCATATGAGAAAGGGATCCGCTCCTCCGGACGGACAGACTAATGATCCAGGACCTAAGCTAGCTACAGAACGTGGACCAGTGGACGCTGAACGTGGACAGGTCCGGTGCAGGACTGAAGCACTCCCAGGCGGGTCGGGCGGGGCAGTCCGCAGGTGTAGATGGAAGAGGCCAGGCTCAGAGATCCCGTCATCGTACCATGAAACAGACAATGGGACAACGGGTGAATAGCAATGAACAAACTACAGTCAGAATCCTAAAAGTGCTAAACAGATAAAGTAGATAAAGTAGGAAGGAGGAGAGGATAGTGCTCAAGTTACCATACTTCTCCCAGCAAACTGACTCCCTATGCAGCTTGACTGACACTCTGAGGAGTTTAACCTTCCCAGAGTCTTACCTTCCTAGCCATATGCTAAACTAAAGAGGACTGTTTTAAACCTAGCCTTGAATAAAGAATAACATACAGCATAATATATAACATAATATACAACATAACACAATACATTATTGAATAATATATAACATAATATATAACATAATACAGCATATATATATAATATATACACTACATATTATATATTACCTAATTATATGCTAAATTAAAGTAAAGTGCTTTAAGCCTGGCCTTGAATGTGGAGACCGTATCTGCTTCCTTAACATAAATGGGAAGCTGATTCCACAGTAAAGGAGCTTGGTAGCTAAATGCTCTGCCACCAACAGTGACCTTTGAGACCTTAGGGACCACCAGACGTCTGGCGTTTTGTGAGCGCAACGCTCGACCTGGTTGATACGACACTAACGTGTCTTGGAGATAAGAGGGAGCCAAGCCATTTATGGCTTTATATGTTAAGAGTAGGATTTTAAACTTTATTCTGTACTCCACAGGGAGCCAGTGGAGTGATTTTAACACCGGAGTTATGTGCTCCCTCCTTTTGGTACCTGTTAAGATCCTAGCTGCTGTATTCTGAACGAGCTGGAAGCTCTTCAAAGAGGCTTTAGGGCACCGCTGCCAGTAAAGCGTTACAGTAGTCGAGCCTTGAGGTGACAAACGCGTGAATGAGTTTTTCCGCGTCACTTTTAGGAAGGAAATTCCTAATTTTAGCGATGTTCCGTAAGTGGAAGTACGCCGTTTTAGTTGCTTGGCTTATATAAGCCTTGAAGGAGAGTTCTTGGTCAAAAATGACTCCAAGATTCCTCACAGTGTTACTGGGTATTATACTGACATTATCGAGAGTAACCATCTGGTTAGTGAGGGAGTCACGCAGGCGCTTCGGACCGAGTAGGATCACTTCTGTCTTCTCCGGGTTGAGAAGTAGGAAGTTAAGAGTCATCCACATTTTAAGGTCCTTTATGCAGGCACTGAACTTTTCTAGCTGATCTGTCTGATTTGGCTTCATCGACAGATAAAGCTGTGTGTCATCTGCATAGCAGTGGAAATTAATTCCATGCTTTTTAATAATGTTTCCCAGTGGCAGCATGTAGAGAGTAAAAAGAATCGGTCCGAGTACCGAACCCTGCGGCACACCGAATTCCACTCCAGAATAAGACGACGAGTCCTGATTCACATTGACGAAGTGATATCGATCTGATAAATAGGATTTAAACCAGCCAAGGGCTGTTCCTCTAAGACCTATATCACATTCTAGCCTCTGCAGTAGAATGCTGTGGTCTATTGTGTCAAATGCAGCACTAAGGTCCAGTAGGACCAGCACTGACACTTGTCCATTATCGGCAGCTAGTAGTAAGTCATTTGTGACTTTGACTAGTGCCGTTTCAGTGCTATGATGAGCTCTGAATCCTGATTGAAAGACTTCAAACATATCATTTTCCTGCAGGTGGCAGCGGAGCTGCTCAGCTATAAGTTTTTCCAGGATTTTAGATATAAAAGTGAGGTTTGAGATCGGTCTGTAGTTTGTAAGTATTTCTGGGTCCAGGTTTGTTTTCTTCAGAAGGGGTTTGATTACCGCGGTTTTAAAAGCTTGTGGGACATAGCCACATTGTATGGATGCGTTTATTATATTTACGATAGGCTCAATTATCAAAGGAAGTATGTCTTTGAAGAGCCATGTCGGGACTGCGTCTAACATGCAAGTTGAGGCTTTTGAGGATGTGACCACAGAGATCACCTCTGCTTGGCTCACAGCCATGAATTTATCAAGGCCCACTGAAGAGTCTAAGTGGGAAGTCACGTATGCCGCTTCAACCTGTCCACCACTAACAGCAGGAGCAACCTCCTCCAGCTTGTCACGGATGGATGTAATTTTATTATTAAAGAAGTGGAGAAAGTCGACACTGCTCAGTGAGCTTGGAATTTTAGGCTCGATTGCGCTATGGCAGTTTGTGAGTTTAGCGACGGTACCAAACAAAAATCTACTGTTGTTTTTATTCGCTTCTATTAAAGTTGAATAGTATTGAGTTCGAGCCCCGCGAAGGGCCTTCTTGTAGTTTCGGAGACCTGCTTTCCACTCCCTGTGGACAGGCTCCGAGTGGGAGTGGCGATATAGCCTCTCCAATTTTCTGACGTCCTGTTTTAAAGTGTGGAGTTGAACACTGTACCAGGGCGACGATGATCTAATCCTAATGGTTTTCTGTTTTAAAGGAGCTGCTGCATTTAATGCAGATTTTAAAGACTCCATAGTGTTGCCCACCGTTTGGTCAATGACTGAGGGACTGCAGCTGCTGTGAACAGGTTCACCTGCAGCAGTATTCAACATAGGCTGTATTAGTTCTTTGAACCTTGTGATAGATTTATCATTTAAGGTTCTTTTCATTATGGTTTTATCTTGCGGGACAGGAAAGTCCTCCAAAGCGAGATCAAACGTGATCAAGAAATGGTCAGACAGCAACGAGCTTTGACGCTGGATGTCAACATTGGAGACATCACAGCCGTAGGTCAGGACAAGGTCCAAGGTGTGGTTATGAATGTGAGTAGGTCCCTCGACATTCTGAGTAAAACCAACACCATCTAGTACGGCGCTGAAAGCTTTGTTTAAGCTGTCAGTGCTGTCGTCCACATGTATATTGAAGTCTCCAGCTATAACTATGTTTTCCCATTCCAAAACTAGGTTTGAAATGAAGTCAGAGAATTCTGTTAGGAACTCGCTGTAAGGACCAGGAGGTCGGTATAAAACTATAAATAGTACTGCTTTTTGTTTTCTCCACCCAGGACAGGTGATTGAAAGTGTTAAGTTTTCAAACGAGTGAAAAGCGTTGTTGGTTTTGGGACTAAGAACCAAGTTGGTGTGTGATATAATCGCAACACCACCGCCGCGACCTGTAGCTCTGGCTTTCTGGTAGTTAACATGCGTCGGAGGAGTGCACTCATTCAATCTAACGTACTCGTCCTGTTGGAGCCAAGTCTCCGAGAGCGCTAACAGATCCAAGCCCTTGTCTATAATAAGTTCGTTTATGAGAAGCGATTTAGACGAGATTGATCTGACGTTCATTAAACCACATTTAACAACCCTAGCGCTAGAACTATTTCTGTCTGTCTGAACTTTTATTAAGTTACTGTGTCTGACACCTAGGTCAGATTTCCTCGCATATAGTGCTTTAGACTTCAAGCGGGGAACACACACAGTTTCAATCTGACTAGGTTCTGAGGCTAGTAACTGAGCACACACAGGCACACACACACATGCACACACAGTTTCAATCTGACTAGCCTCTGAGGCTAGTAACTGAACAGATGGGGGCTCAGAGGTTGTGGCAGAGCAGCTCTGCACCCGGGCCTCAGTTCTGCATCGTCATTTGAGCCGGGCAGAACAGTTTAGAGCCAGGGCCAAATTCTTAGCCAAAAGGGATGTACCCGCCAACGTTGGGTGGATATCATCCGAGCGGATGAGACCGGGCTTTCCCCAAAAGGCACTCCAATTGTCAACATGAACAACACCACTTCGAGGGCACCAGCCAGACAGCCAGCGGTTGAAAGCCGAGTGTCTGCTGAATGCTTCTGCACTGCTAGTGCTAGGTAGGGGCCCAGAGAAGATGACAGTGTCGGCCATTGTGCTAGCCAGCTTGCACACGGCGGCGACTTGCAGCTTCAACACCTCGGACTGTTTCCGCCGAACGTCATTACCACCCGCGTGAATAACAATTCGACGGAAACGCTGCTTGTGGGTCATCATGAGCCTCAGATTCCCTTCAATATCACCAAGCCTGGCCCCAGGGAAGCACCGAACAGTGGCTCCTGGGATCTTAACACCTCTAACAATAGAGGAGCCAATTACCAGCGCATCAGCGACTCCATCGGCTCTCTCAGCAGCTCTCTCAGCGGCTCTCTCAGTGGGGCCTTCTTCCCCGCCCGGCCGCGCGGGGGCGCAGCCGGACAGAGCGTCCCAGCGATTGTAAATGCTAACAGGAGGAGGCCCAATGGGGAAACTACCAACAACACGTCGCCCTCTCCGAACAGTCACAAAGCCATCACTATCCTGGTCTTGTCCCAGCTGCGGAGGACGGGCTGGGAGGCTAGGCTCGCTAGTTCTCCTCTGCCTTTCCCTAAAGCTGCGCTCCGCTGTCCCTGAGGATACGGCCTGGCTGTAGCTAATGCTAGCGCTAGCTCGAGACTCCAGTGCTCGGAGACGCAGCTCTAACTCACTGACCCTGGATTCCAGAGCTACGACTACACTACACTTCACACATCTATCACTACCCTCAGAGAAGGATCCAGGGTTTAGACTCGCCATATGGCAACTCGAGCAGTAAAGGATTGAGGGAGAGACAGCAGCCGCCATAGTAGCGAGTTAGCGGCTAGGCTAGGCTAAGCTAGGCTAGGCTAAGCTAGTACGGATCCGGGCCCGCACAACAGACTCCGAGACCAGACAAACAACCGCTACCTAAACCTCAGCTACAGTACAGCTGACTCGGAGTGCTTACACAGTTAGCTTGGTGTACAATACGTGGATTTGTAATGTGTTTGTTAGTGCAAACAGAGAGCAGAGTGATAGCAGTCAAGAAACACGCTCACCGGATACAGGAAATCACGTCACCATCCGTTTCTCCACCGTTTCTGCAACAACTGAAGTTTGTTCCATAAAGTCACAGCTCTAAATATGACCGACCTACGCACGGCTTCTGAATGCAGTTCTGTCATAATGAATGCAGTATCTTTCTTCACACGCTATATTTCCTCTCGTCTTCACCAAAACATTTCTCTGTTCGTCGCAGTTATTTTTACAAAAGATCATCTCGCCTCCACTAAAATAGAAAGTACATTGAACTGTGATGTCTCCTCCTTCAGCCACTTCATAAACTGACTCAGCTCTGATGGAAGAAAGTCGTTCGAACAGCACTGTTTGGGAAAAACCAGATCAGAATCACTGCATTAGAACGAATGATCCAACCCCATGTTTTTACAGACGGGCATCACAGATTAAACTCTGAGCTGCTCTGGAGAAAAACACCGGTCCAGGGTTTTGTCTATTGGGCGTTTCAGATTTACACTGCTATAATCTGGAACAGTCTTCCTGAAAATGTGAGACAGGCTTCTTCTCTGACAATGTTCAAATCCAGGTTAGAACAGTTCTGTTTCTGCAACAACTGAAGGATTTTATCTTTTTAATGTACTGTGATTATTGATGATGTTAATGACTTTTGTGATTGTTTCTATTCTGGGTTTTGTTCAACACTTTGACTTGCCTTATAATGTGCTATACAAATAAACTTGCCTGATCTTACCTACAGATAAACTGCGTTATCGAGTTTCACATGTGCATCATTTGTAGCTTTAGAAGTCCCCCTCCTAGACCAGCTGAGAGTCAGTCCCCCCAACATGTCCTGGGTCTCCTCCCGATTATTCTCACACCAAACAGTCACAACCGTGAGACTTAGAATTACAACAAAGAAATCCTTTTTCTTAGAAACTGTCTAAAAACCTTTAATATTACACAGCTTTTTCTACTAAAACAGCAGATACTCACCGACATGAAAACTGATCGCTATCTGCCAGAGCCTCATCTTCGCAGCCGCACACTTCATCAAAGCAGGAAGTCTTCTGCAGCCACTTCTCTAAATTCAAGATCACAAATGTGTCTCCTCCCTTTGGGGCCAGACCACTGTACGTCAGAGAGATACAGTCCATCTGGGTGTGTGTAGATCAGGGGTCTCCAACGTGTAGCCCTTCCAGTAGCTCGGCAAAGGATTTAGAAATGAACAAACAGATTGTATTGTTCAGTTTCATTATTTAATATTGTAAATGCACTCGTAACAAATATTCAATGATAAAAAATGAATGTACCCGATATCAGACTTGTTAACACCGATGTATCACCACATTTTTCCTAGACGTGGCTCACTGCCTTTATCGTCCCAAGAAAGTAGCTCTCCGGGTCAAAAATGTTGGAGACAGCTGGTGTAGATGCAATAAAAACTGTCCCGTGTGACCAACACAGGCAGGTCAGAGGAACACAGTCTGAATACAGTCGTCAAAACTATAACACGGTTCACTTTTCTCTGTTTCGCTCATGTTTCTGTTTGTGCGATTTTGCGACAGCCTCCATCCTTCCCTCCCTGAGAACAAGACTCTGAGATACTTTAACTACTGAAGAACTGAAGAAGGACCACTGCACCTGGAGAGGACCAGGACCTGTAGAGGACCTTTCTCTGGTCGAGCTCCATAGCCTCAGATTTGGAGCTGATTCTCTTCCGGCCGCTTCACGCTCGGCTGCAGACCGTCCCAGAGCTTAAGGTCCTGGTTTGTTGGTTTTAACAGAACATCGTCTGTAAACAGCAGAGATTAAATCCTGTGGTCTCCAAACCGGACCTTCTCAAACTTCTGGGAACAGGTTCACTTCAATCCAGTTCAGTTCAATTTATTCTTGTATCTTACCTAAAACACAACAGAAGTTTCTCAGAGGACTTTACAAGACCTTTTAAATCACCAACACGGATCAGAGAATCAACAGTTAATGTATAAAACTCCCTATGGTCAGTTTCACTTGGACTGTTCCACGGCCCCCCTGCTAATGGGACATTCCATTCTACCTGTGCATGTCTCAACTTGTTCTATTCAGTGTTGCCGATGTCGTTGCTCAGAACATGTGCCGTGCTTGTGTGCGTCAATTATGAGTAAGTAATACTGCGATTAGAATGTGATAAGCTATATTTATCTTATTTATGTGTATTGCCCATATACATTTTATAATTGTTAAGAGTAGTTTCAGCTGCGAGGCAACTTACTGACACGTGGTCAGCTGAGCAAGACATTTCCAGGGTTAGATGTGTCAATATTGTTTACATATTATTTGTGTGCCTTAAAATGCATATCCGCATGTTCACTTTGCACATTTTCCCTAGTTTGGCGTCGAATAGAAGTTTCCCTTTGTTCTCAAGTGCAATTACCTTGCCGTGCACTAGAGGCGCTGTTTGGCACAGCCATAGTCCTGCCCCTGTTCATTAATATTCATAATATCACCTCCATCATTGAAATGTAACTAAGCGTGCAGTACATTTTTGAGACCACCAGGTTGCGCCATTATCCCCAGATTATTGTTCCTTCTGTATAATGACCACCCTGTAATTGTTTGCATTTACTGTATGCCTGAGCCTAATCGTACACCTCCCCCATGTACGATAAAAAGTGTTCAGTTGTCAATAAACTTGGAAATACATAAAGGCTTGGACATTCCCTTCATCACCAGTCTCTGAATTCCTTCTGACAGAGGAGAGGACGAGCTGCCGCCCACCAGTATTTGAAGCACGCACATGTCCTGAATAAGTGGTCCTTCGAGCCGGATGGTTGGCAGTTGTCCCTAATGGAGACATCAAGGCAAGATGATGGAGAGCAGGTTGTTCGTCCCCGGGGGCTCCATTGACTCCCAGGACATCTGGATGACTTTGTTCTCACCGATCCTTTCTATCAGCCTGATCCAGTATCTCCAGATCCAGTTATGAGCACTTTGAGGTGAAACGCTGTGACACCAGATCGAACATCGACTCCAATACAACAAAGAGCTGGAGCCGAGAGGTTTCCAGAAATGGAGAGGATGATGAGGATGGAGCGGTGTGTCTCACAAGTTCAAGACCAGATGAGGGAGCTACAGAATACCCTCCAAGCATCTCTGAATCTTCACCGATCACCAGTACCACTTCCACTGTCCGGGGAGGCACGCTGCCCCAGTGTTCCCACAGACCAGCAAATGGGCAGCCTGGAGACCATCCCCCTCTCGTTCAAGCACTGTCCAGTCCCGAGCAGACCACTGTGCAGAGAGCCACATTCCTGCAGTCCTGCCGGTTCCTATGCTCCCCACTCCTCTTTCCACAGAACCTGCTGTTCGTGATGTGGGGGACTCTACACAGCCTGTATATTGCCTCTCTTCAGCCCGAAGCGCAGCTCGACCAGCACCAGTGGTACCCAGGCGTGCAGCATCAGACCATCCACCCTGGCCGCAGCAGCAGCAAAGAGAAATGATTTGGACGACATGTTTTCCTGATTGGTCTACACAGCCCAACGAGGGACCATACAGTTTCCTGGGAGCAATGCAGACGCAGCCCTCAGCATTTCCTCAGCTCAGAGACCTAACCTGATGGAGATGGCTATATCCTCCTCCTATGGCATCCCTAAGCCAAGATTAGTATGTTTTACCACAGGTAAGGAGAGCGACTTTCTATTATTGAAGAAGGGATTAGATGGTGTAATGGGCCCACATCCACATCGTTCTGAGGATTATAAATTCCAGGTACTTCTGGATCACCTCAAATTCCCAGCTGCATTTTAGATAGCAAAGAGATATGTGCATGACCCCATGCCATATACTAAAGCAATGCAGGCCCTGCAGCAGTGCTATGTACAGCCACGTCAGTTAGTCCAAAGTGAGTTAAATGGCATTTTGAGAGCCCCCACAGTGAGAGCAGGAGATGCACAGGGTTTTGAGGACTTTGCTCTATCAGTTAGTAGTCTAGTGGGACTATTGACCGCCTTAGATGGAGCCGCTGAGAGTTAGCTAGAGTGTGAATCTCATGTAGACAGGCTGCTGAGTAAACTCCCCCATTCCTCTCAGGACAGTTTTGCAGAATATTGTCTGTCACGGGGAATTTTACAGACTGACTCAGCTGATACATACACACTCCCTGACTTTGCCAAATGGCTAGAGAGAAAATCACAAGCCATTCAGATCTCCAGGCGAGCTACTGAGAGCTATACGGCAGATAAACCTTGCTCAGACCGCAAAGATAAACCTAGCCAGTTCAAGCAGCCAAAGTCTTCCTCATCCATTTACTATGGCACTGAGAAAGCACACACTCCTGCTGCCATAAACGCAGAAAGCAAGGACACAGCTAGGGGTAAGAAACAAGAGAAGTTCAAGCCATATATTGTCCATTTTTTAGTAGTACAGAACACTATTTGAGTTCCTGCCCAGATTTTTACCAAGCTAAGCACTTCACAGGTTGTCAGCTGGATAAATGAGAATAAGAGATGCTGGTAGAGGACATCAGCCTGACAGTTGCACTCTTAAAAAGCCTTGTGCCACATGTGGAGAGCAGCACCTGCAGATGAGCATCCTCCAGTACTAGCCGGAGTGTTTTGACTCTAAGCACTGCATCCAGTTTGGTGTACTTGGACCAGGCTACTAACTCTGGCAGAGTCATGCTCAAGGTAGTCCCAGTCACACTCCACAGTAAGGGCAGATTATTATCTACACATGCCATTCTGGACGATGGCTCTGAACGGACTACTGTTTTATCCGCAGCCGTTCATTATCTTCAACTAGAAAGGACGGCAGAGTCCCTGAAGCTGAGGACTATCAGGCAGGAAGTGTCAGAGCTACAGGGAGCGAGTGTCACTTTTGATATAAGTGCAACACAAGACCCTCAAGTTAAACATAACATTGCTCAATCTGGCCAAACAATCTTGCCCCATGGACACTCTGCGGCAGAAATATTCCCACCTGAGTGACGGTCCATTTAAGGCATTTAAAGATGTACAGCCAGTGCGCCTTATTGGCTCAGATAATGCACATCTCATTACGCCTCTGTCACCAGTTAAGGCTGGCCCACTAGGTACACCTGTGGCTGTAAACACTAAGCTGGGCTGGGCCATACAGGGTCCCGCCACATTCCTGCATGCACCCACTGAGGCTGCATGTCTGCACACATCAGTGCTACCATCCCCGGCTCAGGTGTTGAGACACAATGTAGAGAGGTTATGGCAGTTAGATGTACTTCCCTTTCGTTCAGAGATGGAAGTCGGCCGCTCTAAACAAGACAGAGAGGCTCCTCAGTTATTACAGACCCAGGCCGAGCGGGTGGAAGTAGATGGAGTGTTGCGCTATGCTACTCCTCTGCTCCGACACAAAAATGCCCCTAAACTATAAGCTGGCCCTGAGTCAGTGATGGCACTGCTGAGGTCCACAGAAAGGCCCCTGAGTAAAGACCCTGATTTAGCAGCTGTTTACACTGCAGAAATACACAAATTAGAACAGTCAGGCTGTGCCAGAAAGCTAACACCAAGTGAGGCAAGCAGCACTGACGAAATTTGGGAAAATCCTCCTTTATACCTTTAAAAGCGCAGTATGTATAAATGTGTCCAAAAGTGGTACTGCAGCCTCTCCCACTCTCCCTGACTCAGGTTGCCAGATATGCAGACAAATCCAGCTGGGACCATAATATTTATTTATTACTGGGACAGTGCATATTAATGAACATTTCTGTAAATATGCCAGAATTAGCCAAACGGCTATTTTTCATCCGTAGTCCCATGTCTCCTGAAAAGATAAAAACATGTTTGCTACACAGTTAAAATAATGTGAGATATTTACAATATTTACAAGGACAAGACAGTAAAACCTTCAGTCACACGTCGTTCAACAATCAACAACACACAATCACATGGACACAGACATAGAACACATACAGGCGCAAACAGAGCATGCGGCCAGCAGGGGGCAGCGAGAGCAGGCGGAGTCAGTGCTGACAGGTGTGATTATCAATGAGCCAGTGTTTTAACTGTGTTTTGTACGTGAGGTAAGAGGGTGCATTTCTGATAGTTGTGGGTAGGAGGTTCCAATCTGAGGTGGCACGGACGGAGAATGAAGATTGACCAAATGTGCTTTTCCTGAGAGGGGTGATACAGTCCCCTCTCGCTGCCCCCCTGGTCCTGGTGTGGGTGCTGTTTCTGGTATTGATGAACTGACTGAGAGGTGGGGATGAAAGACCATGAAGGATTTTATAGACCAGACAGAGATTGGAGAACTTGACCATGTTATCGAGAGTGATAAGTTTGTGTTTGTGTAGTATGGGACAGTGGTGAGAGTGATGGGGTTTCTTGTCAAGGGTTTTTACCGTCCGTTTGTAGAGTGAGTGCAGGGGTTTCAGGGCTGTGGTGTTTGCTAGGGACCAGGGGGAGACAGTATGTGATGTGGGACAGAATCATGGAGGTATTTGTATTCTGTGACGATCTGTAGCCTGTTGCCTGAAGCTAAAACATCTGGATCTGTGCATGGGAGAGACTTGTAAGATTTGGAGAAGAACATTGCAACTGTTTTGGATGTATTCAGTTTGAGACAGGAGTGATTGAGCCAGGATGAAATGTGAGCCATGGAATTAGTGAGTTTTTCAGCAACCTGTGAAGTGTTATTGCCATGTGTGAATATTACTGTGTCGTCGGCGTACATGAGTATGGGAATGTTGCAGACAGAGGGAAGGTTTGTTAATGTAGAGGGAGAAAAGTAGAGGAGCTAGTGTGGACCCTTGAGGAAGACCGGTGGAGAGACCGAGAGGTGAAGACCGGTGAGACTGGATACGGACCTGTTGCGAGCGATGTGAGAGATATGATTCAATCTATTTTATGAGAGAGGGAGAGAAGTTGATTTGTGGTTAACTGTATCGAATGCTTTTTTGAGGTCCACGAAAACAGCACCCACCACCCCTCCCCTGTCCAGCAGTGCTCTGATGTTCTCTGTGAAGGAGCAGGTGGCTGTTTCGGTGGAATGGTGGGTTCTGAAGCCAAACTGCATTGGGTGGAGACTGTAGGGTGTGGTGTGAAGGTGAAGGGATATTTGTTCTGCAACTAATGTTTCTGCTATTTTAGAGACTGAAGGTAGGATGCTGATGGGTCTGTAATTTTCCATGGATTGAGGGTCACCGCTTTTGTAAATAGGAATGATGATAGAAGATTTCCAGATACAAGGAAACAGATTCTCAGAGAAAGACATATTAATGAGTTTGGTGATGGGGGTTGTGAGAGAAGTGGACATGTCCTTTAACATGACTGCGTTCATGCCCAATATGTCTTTGCATCTGGATGGTCTGAGTGATTTGATGGTCCGTGTAACATCTGTCTCTGAGATGGATGTCAGGCTGAGAACAGGTGGGTCTGTATTGGCTGTAGGTGACTGAGAGGATTGAACAAAACCTTGCGCTATATTAGCAACCGAGTCAACAGAATAAAGGTTGAATGCTTCAGCCACAGCGGAAGGCTCGCTTGAGAGACTGCCATTAATTTTGATTTCCAATTTTTTGTTCTCTTTGGCTCGTTGTCCTGTAATTTTCTTCAATTGATCCCATATACCTTTGGAGTTACCATTTGCCCCTTCTATTATGGTAAGGAAAAAATCAGCTTTAGCTTTCCTGATTGACCTAACTACCTTATTTCGGAACATAGCAAATAGACCACAATCATGGGTGGATTTAGATTTCACAGCTTTTTTTAAAGCCTTGTCTCGCTCTTTCATGAGTTGTATTATGTCCGTGTTGATCCAAGGAACTGTATTTTTATGCGGTTTGAGCTTAATTTTCCGTGTGTAGTCCACAATTGTTTTCTGGAGTGTTTCATGGAAGGAGTCTGTGGCAGTATTAACATCATTATTGTTCAATGATAGATCCTGAAGTCAATAATTCCCTTGACTGACGTGTTCGAGTTGATGCAGAGGCATGACAACAGATCTCCAAGTTTTAACATCTGTATTTAATTATCTTTACAATCAGATACAGAAATTCCAACAAAGAGGGCTCCTAAAACTATGCATGTCCCTGGCTCGCCCTCGGCTCATTCTCCTGTGTCCTCTCAAGCCAGAGCATTATCAGTCCATGTTCAGGAAGCAGGGGGCGTGTCGTATCAGGCAGGACTTGGGTCCGGCCTCTTCCATCATGTCCCCTCTGTCTGCCGTACCTTAAACAGAATCATTCACACACACTACCACTCCCCAAATTTATTACTTCTTTGAGATAAGGCAGAAGGCTCTCTGGGTCCCCCTCCTTCAGGATTAGCAGAATCCCCCCCCAGATTACCTATCATTAACTCACCCATGCACTTTGGACTAACAAAGGAACATGGGGAAACCAGGTCTTTTTGCTTTAGGAAAAGACAGTTCAAATCAGGGTCAGCCAATATTCACATCTGCATAGTTAAAATATACAACAGTTTCCCTCTTTTGACCTGATTAAAAAATTAGGTCACAATCCACATCGTCG